TCATCCCCCACACACATCCTGACACTTGTCGTAGCGGCCCCCGGAGAGGCCGACGCTAAGGAAGGGGGAGGGAACAAAAATAATTCCTCGACCGCTACGGAGGAACAAGCGCGACGCGGACAACCAGTTACGGACGATGGCAGAAGACAATCCTCCACCGCTACGGAAGGATACGCGCGTCACAAAGAATCCGCTACGGGAGGAGGCGCGCGACGCGAAGAACCGGTAACGGACGACGCCCACAGTGGTAATCCCGCTAACGCAGATGAGCGGACCGATACGGACGCGGAGAAGACCCGCTCGTGGGAAGAAGACGTCCATATTTGTGCAGAAGACAGCACCGTCCGGTTTAATTCTCCCCGGTACTGTACTGCAGGACGCGGGGACCCATCGAGAGGACCCACGGACCCCGGTGAAGTACAAGCGCGCTACGCTACGCAAGCTTCGCGACGCGCTCGACCGTGCTCGGACGAAATTAACCGCATCGCAAAAGCGGTACAAGGACGATTTTGACAAGAAGGTCTGCTTCCGTCCGGTCGTTGTGGCGGGCGATTTTGTCTACGTTGATCGCCCGCCCCGCCTGTTGACAAGCGTCGAGCGACGCACGCGTGCGCAAGGTACGACCGGAACGGACGAGCTCTCTGTCAAACTACTGCCGAAGACAGAGGGTCCGTTTCGCGTGCACTCCGCTACGGACACCACGGTCCTCATCGAGCAGGACGGCGTGGAAAATCGCGTGAGCATCGACCGCGTTACGAAGATGCCGCCTGGGCCGGGGGATACCGTCACCCCGGCCACATCGACCGAATCGGACGCACAAGCCGCAACGCCAAGAGCGGAGTACGTCGTTGACCGCATTGTCGGACACCGTACTACGCGCTGCGGGATCCACTACAAGGTCCGGTGGTATGGATATACCGCTTCGGACGACACCTACGAGCCCGCCGATGGGCTTCCGCAGCAGTTTATCGACCGGTATTGGCGTTCGCGCCAACAAGGATCAAGCGTGCATGCGTAGCGCAAGTTTCGGCCGCTCTCGGTCGCACCGCTCGGACGCTCGCTCGCGCAAAAGCATCTGGGGAAAACAAGCCGCGCACGTGCTATGCAGCCCCGGCAGCCAGCCGCGTGTGACTGCGCACCGCAAGGCAGTCCGTACCGGATGGATCCCGCGCAAATGGACGCAGATTCTTCCAAAATTGGCCGACCCTCCGGGAGGGTGGTCCACAATGGGAATTTCCCCGAAGCGCCCACGCGGATAGCTAGCAGCCACGCCTGACCGCATCGTTCGGATGATCGCGCTCGCACGCGCCTATGAAAATGGAGAGCTATCCCGGGAACCGGTTCTTTGGATTGAGAGGTATCGCGTTCGCCGGCTTTTTAATTTAGGCGCGATTTGGGCTACGTTTTTCCCTCCCACGCTGCGGGAAAAAATCGTAGTATATTTCTGACAACGGCATCGCACTCCTGGGAGCATTTCGCGTCTGCGAGTGTCAACTCCAAAAAACCGCATTCGGATGAATTTGGAAACCAAATTGGTTTCCTCCCGTTTCTTTTCGTTTCCTCTCGTTTCTTTCAGTTTCTAATTCGGGCTCGTGAAAAGAGGGCGCTCCGTACGGTTTGTGGATCGGTGTTGGCCCAATAGAGGTCGCTACCGCAAGGGACACGCGCGAAACTACCGTTTGGTGACATGCTTGGGCGGGCGCTCCGCTCGCGCTGCTCTTAGGATGGAAAAGAAGGGTGGATTTACGAAAATTGGCCAGCCCTCCGGGCTAGGAGTGCGAGAAGGCGGATCATAACCCCAAAACGACCGTACGGAACTCGTGCCTTCGTTGCACTGCGACGCTTGGGTGCGGGGAGGCGGTGAAGAACAGCACGAGCGGCAGCGGCGGCCCTCGCCTGGCCTGCGGAGGGCAGGGGCGAGGACGATATCGCGCGCACTGTACGCCGCGGCGAGCGAGCCGCCTCGGACGAATTGACCCGCGCGAACGCGGTCTCGGCCAACGCGGTGGCCGGTTGTGCCTCGCTGCGCAGGCCTCGCCGCTGCTGTACCGCAGGGGCCGATCGGTTCAACGCCGGGGCCCGACCACGGCTCAACGGCGGACCGTATGGACGCGCTGCCAGGACTTCGTCATGGCCGTCCGTTCTCGGTCCGCGGAAGCGGTTCTGTACGGAAACGTCGTCAAGGGTGGGGGAGTTGGAAATTTCGGGGGCGCGTTAGGAGTGAGTTGGAAAGATCGGCGTCGCTCGAGCGTGAGACATTTGCGGACGCACTTACCGAATTGGACGAGACCGCTTGCCTCTGCAACGCGAGCTCCGCGACGAGGCAAGAAAAAAAAAGTCGTCCGTGCGCAAGCGCTCCGGTCTTCGCATCGTGCGCGCAGGGAAGGAGAGAGACCGGGGAGGAACCGCGTGGTCGAATGGGAGGTCGCTACGGGGGCGTAGCGAAAGATAAGGAAGGGGGTCTGTAGTATAACGACCGGCGAGCGCGCGGGGAGGTTATTAACCGTGCGGCCGTGCACGGTGCACACGTGGGCGGGTGTGCCCACGTGTAGGGAGCGCGCGCGTTGACCAACCGGCCGTGGCGTGGTGCACGTGTACAGTAGCACACGTGTCGTCCGTGCGGTAGTCTACGCGTGTTACGTGTGCGCGTTAGCTCACGTGTCGTCCGTGCGGTAGTCTGTAAGCAACACGCGTGTACAGTAATGCACACGTGTAGTAGCAGCGTCCGTGCGGTAGTAGTAATTATGGCGCTAGCTTTTTAATTGTGTACAGTACCTGGCACGCACTAGGCGGCAGGTACTGTACTACTGTACTGGGACAGGTGTCCGAGGCGTCCCTCTGAGGGGTTAAGACCTGACACCCGTCCCTACCGGTAAACGGGGGCAAGCTCGCCCCTGTCCCTTTTGCGCCTACGTACGTCCGTTTTCGGTTGTCCGCCGCGCGCGCTGGCTTCTAACCCGTTACCGGTCGCTCCCGTTTACGCACCACGGGGCGACTGCGCGTAACCGGCCAGTGAGCCACTCCCTTTTCGCGAGCTCGTCCGATCGGTTCAATTGGCGCGTCGCGTCCGCGCCACGTGCTCCCTCGCTAAAGCCTCCGCCTCTCACCCAACCCAGGGCGGAGAGGAGTTATCTCACACCCCACCCTTCGTACTCAACGTTCCATTTTGCATGACGGGGCCATCGGACCGCAATAAATTCCTAGTGGTCCTGTAGCTCGTACAAAGATCTACAAAAGAACTAAATGCCTCCTACCTAGTGGCATAGCCGTCGGTGTTGGTGATCTCTGTTATCTTAATAACGTCCGGAATAGCCCTGCGTCGCACTGCGCACCATACACCACAGGCTTTGAAGCCATTGACAATGTTAGAATATGTGACGGACTCCTTGTACGCATTATGAATCAACTCGAATGGAGTATATATATCATTACGGATGGATCCTTCCGGCGCCAAGATGCGCTCATTCAGTGCATTTCGAAGCTTTGTTTTGAATGGGGAAAATATGGAAAAGTCAAGGACCTGCGTCCTGTCACTAGAATGTGCAGGCAATGCAATGAAGACAATCTTATTCTGCCTCAACAAATTTAAACACCGGAATGTTTTGTGTGCACCATAGCCGTCCAGTGTTAACAAAATGTTGCGATATTTTCTTCTCAGTACTGCAGTCTGTAATATGAACCATTCACAGAGTTGGTAAAACCATCACTGTCCATGCTAGCCGGGTCTTGATAAATAATACGGGCATTCTCGGGAAGGTAACAAGCAGGGGTCTCGCGTATGCCATCAGGCCGAATGGGATATTTCGCACGCTTTCCAGGTGCGATAGCAACAGGATCCCACGCGCGACCGTCGGCAGACACAATCGGCATGAGTGTGACATGGTCGGCATTGGCAGACCACTTCAATTCTGTTGAATTGCTCCTACCCTTGGCCTCCATGACACCTTTTGCACGCGCACGGTAGGCTGTTCTGGTCGAAAAGCCCGTCTCGTCAAGGTTGAATATCTGCTCTCCACTCTTGATTCCGTACTCGTCGTAGGCCTGCTGCAAGCGTGCCTAGTGTTTGGCAATGTTCTCGGGGCACATCGCAATCGCCCTGTCATTTTCGAGATTGCAGCGGCGTTTGAGCGAGAGCGTGAGGTTTCGCCTGAGGAACCCCGATAAAAAATTATCCCCGGGACGGAGGTTAACAAAAGGGATTGTTGCTCCTCGCTCCTCTGGCAAGCGTTCGCAAAAGTGCTGCACGAGGTCCTTCAGTCCTTCCCGAGATAAAGGTGTGCCATTGCGCGCGAACTCTGTGGCAGAGTCCGTGATGAGAACTTCTTCTGCCCGGCGCAATGTGGTGGGATGCCCGGCAACTTTTGGGGTCCTGTCTGGCGCATTGAAGTATACCCTGAATGTGGACCAAGGTATGTCAAACTGGTGAGCCGCGGCGCGCAGGGAGCCCTTTTTGTTGATGACGTATCGACGGGCGTTGTCCAACCGAAGGTCTTCGTCAGTCTTTGGGAGGCGTCGGAAAGGCGTAGAGTGGGCCATCGGGATCGGGGGTGGTTGCGTGTGAGAGTAGCAGACGGGCTACTTCGGAGCTGAGGGGGGTGCTTCATGGGGAAATTCATGGGTGCTGATGGCTCAAGTGTTGTCGATTTGGGCGCGCGAATCTGGCGTGGACAAAGAGAGGGCGGGGAATTCGAATATGCAATCAGATTGATGCGGCGTCTACTCGTGTTTGAGATGTTCGCTCACGAGTGCTCGTCATGCCCGGGCATGATAACTTTATGCAAAATTTTAATAACTAATCCGGTTAGGAATGCAGTCGTGGTTAGAGAATGGGGTGTCCGATGATAGATAGTGACGTATGGTGTCGGTCGCCGACAGAATAAATGGTGAACATCTTCTGGGTGCTCATTTGTATTGATATCGTAGAAGGAAGCCAAAGACAGAGGAGGGATGCAACACACGATCATCGAACCATATTTAAACGTCCTTGAATTGGTAAGTCTTCACTGCAGAGCACTTGCTCGTCGTGCGCGTTCTTCTTCGCTCGTGCGGACTGGAGGGCATGTTGACATTTTTGGTGTTTGTCGTTTCAGGGCGGCTTCATGACTGCCTGCTACTAAATGTTGTCCTGACATCGTCCACTTTGCATGTATGACGGATGCAGCATTCAGTTGATGGTACGGCCTTCTGTACAGCATTGTGAGACTCTTTCATGAGATTATAATCATTCCTGTAACCAGCATCCTACTGTTAATTAGTTCATCGTGAGGCTCATGTCTTGCTTGTATTTCAGATGTGCATAATTGGTTCGATTCGTCCCGCGACAAGTAGTACAACAAGTTTTTCAATTTCGAGTGCTGACAAGCTTTTACCCCTCTTCCCGGCGTTGTGAGTTACTCTGCGCACTTTTCGTGCTTCTGACAAACCTGCATCCGCCAATACTACATAGCATCATTCTTGCTGCAACTGCAAAAGGTTGGCCTCCCTTTTCAGTCTTGCGTCTAGAAGCGGCAATCGCACCTTCAGAAGGTTCGCAACCGCAATGAGCCGTTCAAAGCGAATGTTCGAATTCAGCTCTTGTGAGGCAACATCGAGGCTTTGATGTTGGTAGTAGCTTAACCAAAAAGATATGAGCTTTTCGAAGTTTGAGAAGATATCCACTGGGTTTAGACCGAAAAAGTTTTGCGGTCCGAATTTCTCCATTTCCTCGGACAACAAAATGTTATTTAGGATGTGTAACAGGGCCAAGTCCAAAGCTTCCTCAGTTGGATAAGAAATCACCATTAGGATTAAGGATGTATTCACGCAGCAAATGTTCTCAAAATTGACATCTTCCACCCTGACACTTGTGATGAGGTCTTGAATTAGACGTAAGCGATTAGTCTCCAAGAAATCCCAAAGCAGACACGAAGCGAAGTCGTAACGTTCTTTTGAGTTACCTGTGTTTGGGTTACGTGTCAACTTGTCCTCTTCGCGAAAACATTCTAACGAAATCACAACAGATCTCACGAATACGTTCGAATCAATCAGACTGCCCGACATGGTTATCAGCAAACCAGACAAAAGCTTCGGATCTTGTCGGAAAATCGTATTCATAAAACCAAACAACTCCCTACTCCACTTCACCAACTGTCCCAATAAGTCAAAACTTGTCTGACGAAATTGGCTGAGTTGCGGGATCAGCTTGTCATGTTGGGAAAGTTCGCTGAGAAGATGGAGAAGAAGCCCGTGTCGCGCGACAATGCTCTTTTCATCTATGCTTGCACTGCGTAGATAGGTCTCCATACATCCAGCGAGCAGATATCTTCGCGTACCATGAGCCTCGTCATCAGCGTGTGCTCGCATCAGAATATCCGCTATCTTGCAAACAATGCCCTGGTCCGGCGCAAATGGTACCGACCTGTGTGAGCCCATACGTTCAATTCCTGACTTCGCTCGACGCCCGCTGTCACTATGAACTTCGACGGGAGTGACATTTGAAGCTGGTTCAGTAAGCTTTTTGGAGTGCAGTGGGTTTCCACCGTCACGTGGGATAGTCCTTTCGATGTTGTCGTCGAAAACAGTGGGGGCTACGTCCGTCTCCACCACTCCCAGCCTCCCGCTTTGAATGGCAATCAAGTCTGCGCAAGCGGTGAGAGAAAGTCGACGCATCGCCAGAACTAAGGGTTCCTGAGATGATCGTGATGTGAGGTTTGGACCGGTGCAAGTAATCCCGGGCGGGTGTCCGTGTCCGCCAATTTTTAAAATTAGTCTTTCGTCATGCGTAAACAGCATCTCCAGCCTTTCGTTGGCCGGTATGAAATCTAGGCCATCCCATACATAGTGAAGCAAACGTATCAAGTGAACCTTGAGCGCTTCTTCAGTTCTCTTCTCCTTCCCAGAGTTTAGCCATTTCAGCCCATCACAAAAACGGATCATCGCCGCAAATATGCCTGCGTCAACTAGCTGAACTTGAACCTCCCTCTTGCGCTTTCCGGTCAATAGCGAGTAGAGCACAAATAGAACTTCTACTTGCAGAGCGGACATGAGCAGGCGAGTGAAAGACATGTGCGGATATGCTTCCATTTCATTGTCATGGTGTGTGCGTACTTCACTGTCCCCTGATGTCGGCCTCCGGGATATCGTTCGAGATAGTTCGCCCTCCGTCGGCCCAATATCAGCAGAGACGGCCTCAAGCAGGGTATGGGGTTCGGGCCGCAGTTCAGGTTCGCGTGATGCATTGGGCATGTCGAGACTTTCCGCCTGGCGCTGTCCCATTCCATCCAATGCTGCGAGCTCCACGACACTATTTGGATTACCAGGTGCGATGCGCCGGTCAACGCCCAACCATTCGCTCCCGCTCATCCTTCGCCTCGCTCTCGCTGAGCCCTGCTGCCCTTTCACTCCTCTAGCATGGTCCCTCACGGCACTCTCGATTCTAGCATCGAAATCCTTCCAAGATTCTTCGACTTGGATGTCTACTCCCCGTGGCATGTGATCGACGACGGCAAGCTCATCACTGGGGACAGGTGGGACGGAAATAAGCTTGACGAGCTTTTCTAAGAGACCCGGGATGGCTAGCACAGAAGCATGGTTGCGGTCGCGGATGACGCGTGAAGCAGCGCCGACGTAAGAACGACGGGCGCGCAGGCGCTTGGCCGAGGGCTCTATGTGATGCCAGTCGAGCGATGGGGCCTGTGCGGATTGCTTGCAGGCGCCGGAGCAGTGGTCACCACAGTAAAACGGGACCTCTCGCTCATCGACGAGGGGAGCCAGGACGCGGCAGAAGAAGCCCAGCTGGAGCGGGCTGAGCGAGTTGACGAGGGCCAGTAGGTGGGGGACGGAGGAAAGATCAAAGTCCGGACGGTGGCGGGTGGAGTGAAGGAGTTCTTCGATGAGGGTAAGGGAGAGATCGACGGCCTTGTCGTAGCGCATAGCGTCGAAGGCGAGGGAGAGGAGACGGGAGTCGTCGGCGAAGGTGGTGGCGAAGATTTCAGGGAAGTCTGTGAATAAGTTAATGAATCTGAGAGTAGTGAGGAGGATGGAATCGATGGCGGCGCGGGCAGGGCGCTGGCAGAGGATGGGGAGATAGGGGAGCCATGACGCAGGGAGTCGATGAGTGTGGGTCGGAGAGTGGGAATAGGCAAGGACGCGAAAGCGCAGGACGCGGGCGAGGAGGTTGACAAAAAGGGTGGGGATGCGGGCCTCGACAGCCAGACGGGAAAAAGAGGTATCCACGATGCCTGGGGTGGAGTTGACGTTGAGAGAGAAGAGGTTTTCGATGGGGTTATCCAGAGCGGAGACAGCATCTTTGAAGGAGGATACGGTTGGAGGGGGAGAAGGAGGGGCGTTGGAGGGGGGGAAGGCGTGGTTCAGCAGTTCGTTCAGACGGGCGGTGATGGATAAGTAGGGGATGAGCTCGTTGCGGATATGGGGGGAGTGGTGCGGGTAAGTGGGGGGCGTGTCGGAAAAGAGATGGCGGTCGACGAAGCAGCGGCGGCGACGCGGGCGTGGCATGATGTTGAGGGGTGGGGATGTGGGGAGGCGGAGCGTTGGCTGGTGCGTGTGGGGCGGGGGGTGGGGGAAAGAGGCGGGGAGGTGGGGCAAAGAAGCGGGGAGGTGGAGAGGGTTTTGCAGGAACGAAGAGAGTGTGGGCTGAGAGGGTTCTTGTGACGGAGAAAGTACCGTATGAGAGTTGAACGATGCTGTACAGCACATATGTACGAGGATGATGGGTGAATTGTGGAGTGCGGAAGAAGAAATTAGAGTTGAGGACATTACTTTCGACCTCCACAATTACAACTTGGACACACCCAGAGTAGTTACTATCCCAATTGGGTACACGCCGATCTCGCCCCCATTTCGCACCCCTCACTTGGCACCTTTCCTACCCTTGCCACCCGCCCTAGCGAGCTGCGTCACCTCATTAACTGCAACACCGCAACACCTCAACACCTCAACACCTACTCTTAACGCTCCGCTTCCCCTTCCCAACCACGGCCTGTCCGTCACCGCCCTCCCTCATCACCATGACACCCCCCGCCTTCCTCCCACCCGCTGCCCTCCCCTCTCGCAGCACCCTCCTCCCACCACGACTCTCTCCCCCCCACCCCCTCTCTGCCCCCACCGTCCGTTTCTCCCGCCGTCCTGTCCGCAGC